CGAATTCGGCGACGGATCCCATAGAGCCAAGCTCGAAGTGGAGTTCGTCGTCGTCAACCTCGACTGCGCACATAACATCATCCTCGGCCGGCCTGCCCTCGAAGATTTGGAGGCTGTCATCTCCATGAGGCACCTCTGCCTCAAGTTCCCCACACCTGCCGGCATCGGTTACTCGAGAGGAAATCAGAAGCTCTCCAGGGTCTGCTACCTTCAACTTACCAAGAAGGTTAGTAAAACCGAATTTCGGATTGACACCATCACCGCCAAGGCCCTGGAGGAAGAAGAAGGTAGGCCGAGGGCTGAGCCTGCCGAGGAGACCGAAGATTTCTTACTCGATCCGGCCAAGCCGGAGAGAGTCCTGAAGATTGGAGCCAAGCTCCCCGAAGACTTGAAGGCTGGCATCACCAAAGCCCTCCGCGCCTACTCCATTGTTTTTGCATGGGGGCCGGAGGATATGCCGGGAATTGACCGAAGGGTTATCACCCACCGCCTAGCGGTAGACCCTTCGGCCAAACCAGTGCAACAGCGGAGAAGACCCCTCTCGGCCGAGAGAAGGGAGTTCGTAAAGAAGGAGGTATCTATGCTCCTCTCCATCAAGCACATCAAGGAGGTGAAATACCCTTCTTGGCTGGCAAACGTAGTCCTCGCACAGAAGCCTCCTACCTTCCGCATGTGCGTGGACTACACGGATCTGAATAAGGCGTGCCCCATGGACCCCTTCCCACTGCCAAACATTGATCAGCTGGTTGATGAGACCGCGGGATGCGAAATCATGTCCTTCCTCGACGCATTCCGCGGGTATCATCAAATCTATATGCATGAAGAAGACGCTGAAAAAACTGCCTTCATGACACCCGAAGGCATCTTCTGCTACCTTGTGATGGCCTTCGGCCTCAAGAATTCGGGCGCCACCTACACCCGAATGGTGGCCAGGGTCTTTCAAGCTGTCCTAGGACGCACCATGGAGGCTTACGTTGTAATACCCCGAAACCGGGTCTAGCCGGTAACCTAATATTGAATTAATAATCCTTCTTATAAATTCCTAACCGTTGAATTATTATTAACTAGACAATGAATATTAATAATTAAAAATAGAAACTAAATAAAAGTAAAATGTAAGTGTGACATTCTAGGACACTTCGTAATCAAATTTTGGGATCAAAAGCAATCCTGTTCAAAATGAAAATGAGTGGTAGGTACTGCTACATAATCTGAAGTATAGTAACTCAAACAAAACCTTCTGATCATGACCCACCCACTTGGCTTCAAATGAAAATCTTACCCCTGTGCTATACGTATAATAGGTTGTCCTAACCTGCATGGAAAATTACACTTGGAGACCTAACTTGCCATGCATTTATATGATCGATCAGACATATATTGTCATAATATGCATGCCAATCTCCACATGGAAGCCTCACAATACCCCTTATATACTGTCATAAGCATGTGATGAGGGCTGGAGCGTAGCACTAACTTGGCTTCATTCGCGTTCAAAGTGCTAGCATTTATAGGTAGCCATAGACTTATACACAACCTATTCAAAAACTTTTCGCTTGCTCTTCGTAAGTGGCCGGGTAAAAAATATATATACTCGTAAATAAACAAAAATATAGAAAGAGACTAGTAGCTAGCTATGTTGAAGAATCGGTGCGGCGAAGAGGAGCTCCCAACCTAGTTATTTCGTATAAGTTCTTTTCTATAAGGTCAGTACGCTTCCGTCCCATTTTAGTATAATTTCCGTCCCTGTTTCCGGTTATGTTATGGGGATGATGAAAACCATATAGCTAGCCTTAGTTCTTTGTATGCTCTAAAAATGTTTTTTTTTTTTACTTATAACTATTGATTATGATTACGTAATTGTATCTGATAGTAATTACATATTTTTTTTAGCAATATGGATGTCATCTAGGACTAAGTATAGTTGTGAATTTAAGAAGAAAATTAAGTTAAAATTAACGGTTAGATCAATTACCACGGTTTCATGATACATGACTATATGGATTATAGGTTATAATAGGATAGATATGCATGCAAGTGTTACTTAATGATTTGTTACCGAATTATTATATATAACTCGTTACGAAGTAGTGCTATGCGTACGTATTATTTAGTGTTACTGTTTTATTATTAATTTCCGCTCAAGTCTTAGTTTGATGTATATGTTAATTATTTTTAACTATGTTATTTAAGTATGTTATTTTTAAGTATGCTATTTTTAATTATTTAGTATTACTTAATGATTTGCTTTGTGACGATTATTTTTTTAAAAAAAAATATATGTTAATTAAAACGATGCTCATTTTCAGGGAGAAATGACTATATAGCTTAAACAAATAGGTTACTTTTAGTTAATAACCTCTATTATTTTTATTAAAGAATATAGCACTTTATCAACAAATATAAAAACACGGTAGAGTTAAATACAGGGCTCAATTGTGTTTGATAATTAAAAATGCATTTGGATAACATCAAATTGCATGAATTTCGGTGTTTACATTTACATGTATATACTCGTAAACTTCTAGGATAATTTAAAAGGCTATGCACTTTATTTTCATGAACTCTTAATTAAAGCTTGGAAGGATAAATTTATGCACGTACTATTTAGTATAACTTAAAAATAAATTTCAGTTATTAAGTGCTATAAGTTCCAGATAAGTGTTACGGAGTATTATATGCAAGGTTATATTTTTTGTTACATATTTAATTATACGGACATGTGATTTTATTAAGAATGACCCCGTGTTTTAATTTATATATAATTAAGTATTTACAGAATAGCAGATTTAAAATGTATATTCTTTGACATACATGAAAATATTTTTTTATATAACTGTACTAACTTACGTATTTACGTATGTATATCTATATGTGAATATAACATGCATGTAATATGACTTTGATTAATTGTGGTATGGAAGTTTTATGGATCCGAAGACATTTATATGATATATTTTATTTGCGGTCATATTATGTTTCTATATAAGTGAAATTTAAATATGATATCATGAACTCCCAAACTGCATACGACTAATCGCATACTGATAAGTTAAAAGATTACGTTTCCTAAAAGTCTTGCTCTTGGTCCGGTACTCTGACTAGGATACTCCTGTTCTGTTTAGTGTACTATGTACACTCCTGAAATTCTGTTTAGAGGAAATAGTGCTCTCCTGTTTAGTGTACTACGTACACTCCTGTTCTGTTTAGTGTACTTCGTACACTCCTGAAATATTTTTAGAGCACTATTACTCTCCTGTTAAGGTTCGGGTCTCTTCGGTGATCTCGTCCTTTCTGTTCAGCTAGCTTCTGTCAGGGATTGGTACGTGTAGCTCCGGCGATTACGTTTCCATATTCCTTCTGGGTAATGTGGGTACGGACTTCGATCGACCGTATTCCTTACCGTTAGTATTCCTCGGTCTAGGTTTAGATTCTAGAGTTCAAGGCTAAATGAATATGTATCTTTCAATGATAAATTTCAAAATAAGAATGATCTGATCATTATGGTATCTGAATATGCTTCTGTTCTGTACACAAGAAGAATATAATAATTATCTCAGAATAAAATTATTTGACAGTTATGATATCTGAGTATGATGCTATTCTGTATGTAAATATCTGTATTTTTATAACAGCTGCTCGGTTCACCCAGGTATGTTATATGTTTGTCTGATCAGATGTGAATTATGATATGTTAATATGTTCTTTGATATGTTAATATTATTGTTATGTTATTACCGTACCACTCAGCACATTGCTGAGCGGGTAGTTGTGTGTTTTCCTACCCGTAGGTTGAGCACGGAACCCGCTAGGAGCACAGGGATGGAAAGAGGCGTAGGACGCATTTGCATGCTATGTATTTGTTTTTTTTTAAATAAAGGACTTTAATATGTCATATGTGATTTTAAGAACTTCCGCTGCATCCTTGAAGTGTTTTATGATGTTTAAGTTATGTCTATTTTAATAACATTCTACTCCATGTGAGTTTGACATTTTCTGGTATTTAGTAATGAAGTCGTTTTGGAATTAATACACTTTATTTTAAGTAATAAAATCTCTTATTAAATGTTTTGTGTTTAAAGTAAAAAAAAAGGGCACTATTTCTTGAACCACGAAAAGTATTTTTGATTAAATCTGTTCCGATTTTCCGCCAAGTGACGCGCCACTCGGGCCGGCGGGGTCGGGCCGGGTGGGGTGTTACAGTTTTGGTATCAGAGACAATGGTTTTAAATGATTCTTTTAAACCTTGGGTAAATGAGGTTTACTTTATTTACAGTGTGTGTCTTGCATTGCATTTTAGAAGTCCGCCTCCCATCCTGGTATTTAGTTATATCATAGATAACTAAGTTATTATGAAATTTTAAATTTAGGCACCTAAAATGTCGTCTGAAGATCCCAGTGAGCATTCTGTGCATGGATCCGAACATGCAAGCACTCACCATGAAGAATACCATGTTCCGAATCCGTTCATACAGCAGATGACTGGACTGTTCCAGCAGATGGTTCAAAATGTGATCCCGATTAATAACGGAGATGCACGAGAGTCCATTACGATCGAGAAGCTTAAGAAGAATGGCGCCTCCATTTTCTTTGGGAAAAGGGGAGATACTCCAGAAATTGCTGAATTTTGGCTTGAGCAAACTGCTCGAGTCTTAGAAGACTTACAGGTGCCGATAGCCGATCGCCCGCGCCATGCTATTAGTTTGCTGCAACATGGAGCCTACGATTGGTGGAAATCTGTACTTCTCCGACCTGATCTACCGAGGCCCGTGACGTGGGACTACTTCCAAGCACGTTTCATAGATCAGTTTGTCCCGGCCTGGTACCAAGAAGAACGAAAGCGGCAGTTTATGGATTTGACACAAGGATCCATGACAGTGGCGGAGTATGCATATGAGTTCCTTCGCCTGAGCAAGTACACTCGGGATATGGTAAGAGTGGAAGCTGACAAGTGCCGAAAATTTGAGTATGGGCTTAATGAGGAAATCGCTGGGCAGGTGGTCAGCTTACGCCACGTTAGCTTTACGCAGCTTGTGGAGTCCGCTCAGAGTTTCGAAGGGTGGCGCAGAAGAAAGACCAGCAGGGGAACATTTTCTTACTCGGCACCGACGAAGAATCCGATGGGGAAGAAGCACGAAAGCGGAAGGAGTAAATCTCGTGCCACATCCATGTCAGCTAGCAACAAACCTCGCCCGCCAACTGCCCAAGTGAAAAATGTCCCGTTATGCTCCTTTTGCGGGAAACACCATATGGGGGAGTGTAGAAGAGCCTCCGGAGCTTGTTTCAGGTGTGGCCAGATGGGTCACGTGCTTAGAGAGTGTCCATCACTTATCACAGGTAATGCTTCATCGGTTCCAGCCCGCCCTATGCAGCCTCCACAGAGGAGGGGGCAAAATCATAATCAAGGAAATACCACCAACAACTCTGAAACTGTGAACCGGCCACAACAGGGTCGCCCCCAGGCAAGGACCTATGCGATGCAAGCTAGGGAGGAGCAACCAGAAAATGATGTCATCATTGGTATGTTTACTCTTTTTAATACCGATATGTGTGCTTTAATTGATCCTGGTTCTACACATTCTTATATATGTGTCCGCCCTGCGTGCTTACTTGAGTACCCGAGAGAGTCCTTAGACATCCAAATGGAGGTATCCACACCTCTAGGGCGAAGTATCATTGTCAATCAAGTATACCGATATTGCCCCTTGGAAGTTCAAGGAAAACAATTCAATGCGGATCTCATCGAGTTACCTTATCGAGAATTTGATATCATTCTTGGTATGGATTGGCTTTCTAAGCATAAAGCGGTGGTGAATTGCCAAGATAAAACATTGTTGCTTCAAACTCAGCAAGGTGACACTGTTCTTGTTCCTGGAGAATTATTTCCAAAGCCACCTCAACTCATTTCTATGATGCATGCTAAAAGGCTTATGCGCAAGAAATGTCAAGCATACCTAGCATATGTTCGAGATACGCAGAAGGAAGTTCCTGTATTAAATGACATCCCTATTGTACAAGATTTTCCAGATGTTTTTCCTGACGAGTTACCAGGTTTACCACCATCTCGAGAAGTGGAATTTAATATTGAACTAGTTCCTGGTACCACTCCCATTTCTGCAACTCCTTATCGAATGGCTCCTGCTGAAATGAAAGAATTAAAGGCACAACTTCAAGATCTCTTAGATAAGGGATTCATCCAACCTAGTGTGTCTCCATGGGGCGCACCAGTTCTATTTGTGAAGAAAAAGGATGGTTCCATGAGACTTTGCATCGATTATCGACAGCTGAACAAAGTTACGGTGAAAAACCGTTACCCATTGCCGAGGATCGATGATCTCTTTGACCAACTCAAGGGAGCTAAAGTGTTCTCAAAAATTGATCTCCGATCAGGATATCACCAGCTTCCCGTAAAGAAGGAAGATGTACCAAAAACTGCATTCAGAACAAGATACGGGCACTATGAGTTTTTGGTCATGCCTTTTGGTTTAACCAATGCTCCTGCTGCATTCATGGACCTAATGAACAGAGTATTCAAGCCTTTTCTAGATCAGTTTGTGGTTGTCTTTATTGACGACGTCTTGATCTATTCAAAGTCCAAGGAGGAGCACAAGGAGCATCTCAAGATTGTGCTAGAAACACTCCGAAAGCACAAACTCTATGCCAAGTTTTCAAAGTGTGAGTTTTGGCTTGATAAAGTAACCTTTCTGGGCCATGTCATTTCAGCGGATGGCATAAGAGTGGACCCCGCGAAAATACAAGCCATCACAAATTGGAAACCACCTCGAAATGTGACGGAGGTCCGAAGTTTTCTGGGATTAGCCGGTTACTATCGTCGCTTTGTTAAAGGTTTTTCCTTGATAGCTTCACCTCTCCATAAACTTTTGAAGAAGAATAAACGTTTTGAATGGACACCATCTTGCCAAGAGAGTTTTGATAAACTAAAGAAGGTTCTTACTGAAGCTCCAGTCCTAGTCCAACCTGTTTCAGGTAAAGACTTCACTGTGTATAGTGATGCTTCTCTTAATGGCCTAGGATGTGTTCTTATGCAAGAAGGAAAGGTGGTTGCTTATGCCTCGAGACAACTCAAAGAGCATGAGAAGAACTACCCCACACACGATCTGGAGCTAGCAGCCATTGTCTTTGCTTTAAAGATATGGCGACATTACCTTTATGGGGAAAGATGTTATATCTTTACCGACCATAAAAGTCTGAAATATCTTCCGACCCAGAAAGAGCTAAATTTGAGGCAAAGGCGCTGGTTAGAGTTAATCAAGGATTACGATTGTGTAATCGATTATCACCCCGGGAAAGCTAATGTTGTAGCAGATGCTTTGAGCCGGAAAACTCTAGCTGAATTACATCTCAAACCCTCACTTCAAGAGGAAATCCTAGCTGCTCAAAAGTGTGATGATCAATGTCTTAAGATAGCGGAGTCCATTTCTAAGGGGGAGAGACCAGATTTCTCTAAACAAAGTAATGGTGGATTATGTTTCCGAGGCCGTTTAGTTGTTCCTAACAGGGAAATTAAACAAAGAATTTTTCGTGAGGCACATGAAACAAAATACTCAATGCACCCTGGCAGTAACAAAATGTTTAGAGATTTGAAGAATCTTTATTGGTGGTCTGGTATGAAACGTGATATCACTGAATATACTTCTAAGTGTCTCATTTGCCAACAGGTTAAAGCCGAACACCAACTTCCATCTGGATTGTTACAACCTATTACAATACCGGAATGGAAATGGGATCGCGTAACCATGGATTTTGTGATGGGATTACCATTGACACCAAAGAAGAATGACTTAGTCTGGGTAATTGTAGACCGACTTACCAAATCTGCTCATTTCATACCCATTCGAAAAGATTTCTCCTTAAATAGGTTGGCCGAACTGTATATTCAAGAAATAGTCCGACTACATGGGATACCCCTGTCCATCATATCTGATAGAGATCCAAGATTCACTTCTCAATTCTGGGGAAGCTTACAAAAGGCACTTGGTACAAAATTGAACTTTAGCACAGCCTTCCATCCACAGACAGATGGTCAATCTGAAAGAGTTATTCAAATTCTTGAGGATATGATGCGGGGTTGTGCAATTGAGTTCAAGGGAAGTTGGGAGAAATACTTACCTCTTATGGAGTTCGCATACAACAATAGCTACCAAGCTACCATTCAAATGGCACCATATGAAGCTTTGTATGGTCGGAAGTGTAGAACTCCAGTCTGTTGGACAGAGCTAAGTGAAAGAAAGATCGTTGGGCCCGATTTGATTCAAGAGACAGAGGAAAAGATCAAACTGATTCAAGAGCGACTCAAGATAGCATCGGATAGACAAAAATCATATGCCGATCTGAAGCGTCGTGATATTGAGTATGCTATTGGAGAAAAAGTTTTCCTAAAAGTGTCTCCTTGGAAAAAGGTTCTACGTTTTGGTAAAAAGGGAAAGCTGAGTCCAAGGTTTATTGGGCCTTACGAAATCACCGAACGTATCGGTCCAGTAGCCTACCGACTAGCATTACCACCGGAGTTGAGCCAAATCCATGATGTCTTTCATGTATCTATGTTAAGAAGATACAGATCAGATCCTTCACATGTGCTAACACCTGAGTCTGTCGAGGTCAATAAAGATTTGACATATGAAGAAGAACCAGTGCAGATACTCGCCCGAGACACAAAGGTGTTAAGGAACAAAAAGGTTCCCTTAGTGAAAGTCCTCTGGAGGAACCACGCTATGGAGGAAGCAACTTGGGAAACCGAAGAAGCAATGTTGGCTCAGTATCCACATTTGTTCAACGACATCAACTAAGGTAATTTCGAGGACGAAATTCTTTTAAGGGGGAGAGAAATGTAATACCCCGAAACCGGGTCTAGCCGGTAACCTAATATTGAATTAATAATCCTTCTTATAAATTCCTAACCGTTGAATTATTATTAACTAGACAATGAATATTAATAATTAAAAATAGAAACTAAATAAAAGTAAAATGTAAGTGTGACATTTTAGGACACTTCGTAATCAAATTTTGGGATCAAAAGCAATCCTGTTCAAAATGAAAATGAGTGGTAGGTACTGCTACATAATCTGAAGTATAGTAACTCAAACAAAACCTTCTGATCATGACCCACCCACTTGGCTTCAAATGAAAATCTTACCCCTGTGCTATACGTATAATAGGTTGTCCTAACCTGCATGGAAAATTTCACTTGGAGACCTAACTTGCCATGCATTTATATGATCGATCAGACATATATTGTCATAATATGCATGCCAATCTCCACATGGAAGCCTCACAATACCCCTTATATACTGTCATAAGCATGTGATGAGGGCTGGAGCGTAGCACTAACTTGGCTTCATTCGCGTTCAAAGTGCTAGCATTTATAGGTAGCCATAGACTTATACACAACCTATTCAAAAACTTTTCGCTTGCTCTTCGTAAGTGGCCGGGTAAAAAATATATATACTCGTAAATAAACAAAAATATAGAAAGAGACTAGTAGCTAGCTATGTTGAAGAATCGGTGCGGCAAAGAGGAGCTCCCAACCTAGTTATTTCGTATAAGTTCTTTTCTATAAGGTCAGTACGCTTCCGTCCCATTTTAGTATAATTTCCGTCCCTGTTTCCGGTTATGTTATGGGGACGATGAAAACCATATAGCTAGCCTTAGTTCTTTGTATGCTCTAAAAATGTTTTTTTTTTACTTATAACTATTGATTATGATTACGTAATTGTATCTGATAGTAATTACATATTTTTTTTTAGCAATATGGATGTCATCTAGGACTAAGTATAGTTGTGAATTTAAGAAGAAAATTAAGTTAAAATTAACGGTTAGATCAATTACCACGGTTTCATGATACATGACTATATGGATTATAGGTTATAATAGGATAGATATGCATGCAAGTATTACTTAATGATTTGTTACCGAATTATTATATATAACTCGTTACGAAGTAGTGCTATGCGTACGTATTATTTAGTGTTACTGTTTTATTATTAATTTCCGCTCAAGTCTTAGTTTGATGTATATGTTAATTATTTTTAACTATGTTATTTAAGTATGTTATTTTTAAGTATGCTATTTTTAATTATTTAGTATTACTTAATGATTTGCTTTGTGACGATTATTTTTTTTAAAAAAAATATATGTTAATTAAAACGATGCTCATTTTCAGGGAGAAATGACTATATAGCTTAAACAAATAGGTTACTTTTAGTTAATAACCTCTATTATTTTTATTAAAGAATATAGCACTTTATCAACAAATATAAAAACACGGTAGAGTTAAGTACAGGGCTCAATTGTGTTTGATAATTAAAAATGCATTTGGATAACATCAAATTGCATGAATTTCGGTGTTTACATTTACATGTATATACTCGTAAACTTCTAGGATAATTTAAAAGGCTATGCACTTTATTTTCATGAACTCTTAATTAAAGCTTGGAAGGATAAATTTATGCACGTACTATTTAGTATAACTTAAAAATAAATTTCAGTTATTAAGTGCTATAAGTTCCAGATAAGTGTTACGGAGTATTATATGCAAGGTTATATTTTTTGTTACATATTTAATTATACGGACATGTGATTTTATTAAGAATGACCCCGTGTTTTAATTTATATATAATTAAGTATTTACAGAATAGCAGATTTAAAATGTATATTCTTTGACATACATGAAAATATTTTTTTATATAACTGTACTAACTTACGTATTTACGTATGTATATCTATATGTGAATATAACATGCATGTAATATGACTTTGATTAATTGTGGTATGGAAGTTTTATGGATCCGAAGACATTTATATGATATATTTTATTTGCGGTCATATTATGTTTCTATATAAGTGAAATTTAAATATGATATCATGAACTCCCAAACTGCATACGACTAATCGCATACTGATAAGTTAAAAGATTACGTTTCCTAAAAGCCTTGCTCTTGGTCCGGTACTCTGACTAGGATACTCCTGTTCTGTTTAGTGTACTATGTACACTCCTGAAATTCTGTTTAGAGGAAATAGTGCTCTCCTGTTTAGTGTACTACGTACACTCCTGTTCTGTTTAGTGTACTTCGTACACTCCTGAAATATTTTTAGAGCACTATTACTCTATCTCCTGTTAAGGTTCGGGTCTCTTCGGTGATCTCGTCCTTTCTGTTCAGCTAGCTTCTGTCAGGGATTGGTACGTGTAGCTCCGGCGATTACGTTTCCATATTCCTTCTGGGTAATGTGGGTACGGACTTCGATCGACCGTATTCCTTACCGTTAGTATTCCTCGGTCTAGGTCTAGATTCTAGAGTTCAAGGCTAAATGAATATGTATCTTTCAATGATAAATTTCAAAATAAGAATTATCTGATCATTATGGTATCTGAATATGCTTCTGTTCTGTACACAAGAAGAATATAATAATTATCTCAGAATAAAATTATTTGACAGTTATGATATCTGAGTATGATGCTATTCTGTATGTAAATATCTGTATTTTTATAACAGCTGCTCGGTTCACCCAGGTATGTTATATGTTTGTCTGATCAGATGTGAATTATGATATGTTAATATGTTCTTTGATATGTTAATATTATTGTTATGTTATTACCGTACCACTCAGCACATTGCTGAGCGGGTAGTTGTGTGTTTTCCTACCCATAGGTTGAGCACGGAACCCGCTAGGAGCACAGGGATGGAAAGAGGCGTAGGACGCATTTGCATGCTATGTATTTGTTTTTTTTTTTAAATAAAGGACTTTAATATGTCATATGTGATTTTAAGAACTTCCGCTGCACTCCTTGAAGTGTTTTATGATGTTTAAGTTATGTCTATTTTAATAACATTCTACTCCATGTGAGTTTGACATTTTCTGGTATTTAGTAATGAAGTCGTTTTGGAATTAATACACTTTATTTTAAGTAATAAAATCTCTTATTAAATGTTTTGTGTTTAAAGTAAAAAAAAAAGGCACTATTTCTTGAACCACGAAAAGTATTTTTGATTAAATCTGTTCCGATTTTCCGCCAAGTGACGCGCCACTCGGGCCGGCGGGGTCGGGCCGGGTGGGGTGTTACATACGTTGACGACATGATCGTCAAAAGCAAGAAGGCCGGCACCCACGCCGACGACCTCCGGGAGATTTTTGCCATCATGCAAAAATTCAACCTCCGGCTAAATCCGAAGAAGTGCACCTTCGGCGTACAAGGAGGGAAGTTCTTGGGCTACATGGTCAGCCGAAGGGGTATTGAGGCCAACCCCGAGAAAATTCAAGCCATCATCAACATGGAGCCCCCGCGCAACGTCAAAGAAGTTCAACGGTTGACGGGTCGCCTGGCAGCCCTCAACCGTTTCCTCTCCAAGTCAGCCGAAAGGGCCCTCCCCTTCTTCCAAATCATGAGGAAGACGGCGGGTTTTCAGTGGACATCCGAATGTCAAGAGGCCTTCGACGAACTCAAGAAGTACCTCTCCTCTCTCCCAGTGCTCTCCAAACCAAAGGTGGGGGAGACTTTATACTTATATCTCGGTGTTAGCCCTGCGGCTATCAGCTCAGTACTAATCCGAGAGGAAGACGGCATCCAACATGCCATCTTCTACGTCAGCAAAACCCTCCGGGAGGCCGAACTCAGGTATTCTCCCGTCGAGAAGACGGTGCTAGCCATCGTTTGGACCGTCAAGAAGCTTGGCCACTACTTTCAAGCTCATCCGGTCCAAGTGCTCACTCATCAACCCCTCGGCGCCCTCATGAGGAGTCCCACTAGCTCCTCTCGGATGGTGAAATGGGCCATCTTCCTCAGCCAATACAACATAGATATCCGTCCGAGGCCCGCCGTTAAGGGCCAAGCCCTGGCGGACTTCGTAACGGAATGCACCGCGAGATCAGCAACTGACGAGGAGCCTTCGGCACCTCTCGACGAATGGTGGACCCTCTACACCGATGGCTCCTCGGCCACCAGAGCATGTGGAGGGGGAGTGGTCCTCATTACTCCCGAGGGCTTCCGCGCCTATTATGCCATCCGATTCTCCTTCAAAGTCTCCAACAACGAAGCCGAGTATGAGGCCCTGCTCTGTGGCCTTCGACTGGCAGCAAATCTGAAGGCCAAACAAATCCACGTCAAGTGCGACTCCAAGCTAGTCGTAGGCCAACTCTCCGGCGAATATGAGGCCAAGGAAGGAAGGATGAAGCAATACAAGGAAGCGGCCAAAGAATTGCTTAAGGTATTTGAGGCACATTCCCTCACCCAAATACCGAGGGCTCAAAACTCTGAGGCCGACATTCTATCCAAGCTCTCGGATGAATCCCCCGAGCACCTCTCGAAAATTGCAAGAATCGAGGAGCTCAGCCTCTCAAGCATCCACGCAAGCCCCATTATGAGTATTAACCTAAGACCGGAGGATTGGATCTCCGACATCATCGCCTTCATCATCGCAGGGCAATTGCCCCACGACGAAGCCAGTGCAAAGTTAGCAAAACTGAGGGCTCCCAGTTACACCCTCGAAAATGGAAGGCTTTACAAGAGATCTTACAACGGCACCCTCCTTCGGTGCCTTCATCAAGATGAGGCTGAAGTCGCCATGGAGGAAGTGCACAGTGGCACTTGCTCAGCTCACCAGGGACCCTTCTCCATGTCCCGAAGGCTCATAGTTCAGGGCTACTTCTGGCCCACAATGGCTAGAGATTGTGCTAATCTAGCCCGAAGGTGCACCGCTTGCCAACACTCTCAGAAGGCCCCCGGCAGACCAGCGGTCAACTATGCTCCCATCAGCACCGCTATACCCTTCTCCAGATGGGGGATCGACTTAGTAGGCCCTCTGTCGAGGGGTACCTCCAACAACAGGTATATCATTGTGGCCATTGACTACTTCACCAAATGGGTGGAGGCGGAGCCCCTCGCCAGCATTACTGAGGCCCGGTGCCGCCACTTCGTCCTCAAGAACATTCTGACAAGATTTGGCGTCCCCCAACAAATTATCTCTGACAACGGGACTCAGTTCGAGGCAGCCCCCTTCTGTGCCCTCCTTGAGGCTTGGGGCATCAAGCACACATTCTCTTCCGTTGCCTACCCTCAGGGCAACGGACAAGTAGAAAATGCCAACCGCACTCTCCTCGAAGGGTTGAAGAAGAAGCTAGAAGCCGAAGGGGGAGGCTGGGTAGAAGAGCTTCACAACATCTTATGGGCCTACCGCACCACCCCTCGGCGGGCGACAGGCGAAACACCCTTCTCCCTATGCTATGGCTTTGAGGCAAAGGCTCCAACAGAAGTGACCCTTCCGACCCGAAGGGTGGAACAATATGAGCCCGAGGTCAATGACGCCAACATGGCCCTCGACCTTCATCTCATCTCGGAACGCCGAGAGCAAGCTTTCCTCAGGGCCGAAAACTATAGGAGACAAGTCAAAGGATACATCGACGCCAAGGTCCGCTCCCGGGAATTCCAGGTGGGAGACTACGTCCTCCGGCGAAGGGAGGCCAGTCTACCCACCGAAGGAGGAAAGATGGCGCCCAAGTTTGAAGGCCCCTACATCATCTCAGACATCATCAAACCGGGGACATACAAACTGAAACGCCCCAATGGGACGGAGGTCCCTAGACATTGGAATGTGCACCACCTTGTCAAGTTCTATCAATAAGGCGTGAGCGGCCAAGCCCTCACCCTCAACAAATGTAAATATCAATGGCCCAAGGCCCCATCTGTTTTTGAAGAATAATCAAAAGGCCAAGCCTTCATCACCTACATATTGTACAAGCGGCCCAAGGCCCCTCCCTTCTCTCCTACAAACGAGTGGCCAAGCCCTCATCGCTTCACCAAAATAGGCCCAAGGCCTCTCCCTCTCATGAGGGGGACAGCAATTTAGGTACCAAGTACCAGGTGTATGGGTCACCCCCATCACTCTTTGAAAACACCAAGTGTTTTCTCAAACTTTTACATACTCTCCTTAAAAAAAAAAAAAAAAAAAAAAAAAAAAAAAAAAAAACGGGGGGTGCAATACCCCTCGGCTCCGGCTGGTACCAAGTGCCCCCGGCTATTTGTGTTCTACACACAAATAAAACCCTTCCCAGGAACGCTTTCCGCGCCATCCCCCAAGGGGAGGCAGGCAACGGACCATGTCCCGGGCCCAGGATTCGACTTCCACAAACGAAACGCTCCCCGCGCTATCCCCCAAGGGGAAGCAGGCAACAGACCATGTCTCGGGCTGAGGGGACGACTTTCAAAACCGAGGCGCTTTCCGTGCTATCTCCCAAGGGGAAGCAGGCAACAGACGATGTCTCGGGCCGAGGAAATGACCCTCAAACCCTTCGGGATATCGGAAGGTCATTCCCGAAGGGGGAGCCAACGGTTTGTTCCGTTGCCTCCCATATAGGCCAAGCCTTTCCTAGACACCAAGTTTCTAGATGCCTCTCCTACACCATCTAAAAAAAAAAAAAAAAAAAGAGATGTGTAGGGGGGAAGGAACTCCCCGGATACTATTCTCCCCGGAGGCTCAACACTTCGGACATACATTCCCGAAGGCTCCTACAAAGGCAACAGAAAATTTCTCAACAACGAGTCATCCGGCTACATAGCCGAAGGCTTCATTACATGAAGCCTTGGAGTACAAGATTTCCACCGGAGGCCCAAGAAGAAGGATCACTGAGCGAAATTTCACCTAAATTTGGCTAAGTCCGAGATTCGGCTAAATCAAAGACAACAATGTTCCACGCCGAGGGCTTCACGACGAAGGCAGAATACTACCAAACTCATTCAATGATGACAATTTGGTGCCCTTCGAAGCAGACTCATCAACCGAAGGGTCACTCTATTGGAGACAAATCTCAGGATTCCATTAAGCCCATAATCTTGAACCCCTCGTCAACTACATGCACCGGGGCCTCAGCAGTTCCCACGCCCGAAGGTTCACTACAGCTCCTATTGAAACTTCGTGGAAAAATGACTAAGTCCACAATTGGGGACCCTTCGGGTCGAACCGGAATGCCATCTACATCCACAGGCTTACAGCCGATGGCCCACCTAAACTACTGGGCAATAACCTGAAGCTACACTACAATCGGAGGCTCGTCACTACCGAGGGCCTAGTCACCGAGGACATATTCTGGGATCTTACTTAGAAAATTTTCTAGGTCCACAGCTTCAAGCCCCCCGATGGTCCTACGCTACCGCAGAGGGCTCATGACAAAAGTTTTGCTTAGAAAAATTTCTAAGTCCACAACAACGACCCCCCGGCGATTCTACTCTATAACCGGGGGCTAGCAATGAGTGGCACTTAGAAAAATTTACCAAGTCCACAAACTAGGGGCCTCCGGGAAAGCAGACATTCATATGGAAGGAAGGAAGAAACGTACATTCATACACAAACACGAAAAGAAACAAAGGCATACATTCAAGTTCAAAATAAAGGAAGGCATTCGTTCATGCGAAAAACCCGGAGGCAATGATTCATTCAACAAGAAAAACAATTAGAGTACAGGAATGTGTTTCATTACAAAAGCGTGGCCGAAGCCGAGGCCTACAAACTATTACAAGGTTTATGCACACGCAGATAACTAAGTCTGGGCCCCCTCAGCTGCATCCTCCTTCATCTTTGAGGTAGCGTCATCCTCAACTTCATCTTCATCTTCAAGACCGCATTCCCTCATCAGCTCGGAATCTGCGAGCTGGCGCCTCTCTTCACCCTCCGGAAGGGGGATTCGAACATCAGGTTGCCGGGGGGGAAGACCGTAGGCCGAAGGGTCGAACTTGCTAGGATCAATACCAAAGTGGCCGGCCAGCTTCCTATAAATCAGGCGCTGGGTGAAGAATTCACCCCCATCGAAATAATTTTTGCCCTTCAGGGCCATCCATTCAGATCCGGGGCCTGCCACCCAGCCCTCGACGCCTTGTTCTATGACCGAGGCCACCCACTCCTTGCGGTCCTCGGACTTCCATCCCTCAGCAACGAAGGAAGCAATGCCGTCTTCCCTGGCCTTGGCCACGGCCTCAGCCTTGGCCTTCTCAGCTTCCTCGGCTGCTTGCTTTGCGGCCTCGGCAGCGGCTTTCTCCGCTTCAGCCTTCCCCTCGGCACGGGCCTCCACCTTAGCGGCCTCCAGCTTATTCCCCGCCTGCCTCAGGGCCTCCTCTAGCTCAGCCATCTTCCTGATGGCCTCGGTATTCTTTGCGACGAGCCTTTTAAGGGCCTCGTCGTCTTCCGCCTTCCGGAGGCGAATTTGCTCCATCCTCCGGACATACTCTCCAAAGGCCAGGCTAGCCTGTCAACAAAAAATAAGGGGGGAGGCTCAAGGTCAAACTATGCGAACAAGAGATACGTGAAAGTAAAGCAAAGGCTTAGCAAGGGGAAGGGACTTACAGTGACCGAGGCCTCAAGTGCTCTTCGTTCGAGGGCTTCATCCTCAAACTTGCCGAGGGTCGAGCGGTCTAAGGGGGGAGTGGTGCCCTCCAGATATTCCCTTGGGTCGAGGGTTCCATGGACGATAGCAGTCCCCTTCTTAAAGGAGAACTGCACCGTCTCCTGCGGCCAAGCCCCCTCGTCAAGATCCACTAGATGAGAGGAGGAGGGCTCTTCAAGGATCACCAGGGGGGCACCCTTAACTTCATCGGCCCCCCTCAACTTCTTAGTTACCGGAGGCTTGGAGCCCTTCCCGGCATTCTTTCTCTTAAGCTCCCCAACTTGGGAACCCCCGGCACCAGCACCGGCATCAGCAGAAGGAACCTCCTTAGTGGACTCCTTATCTTCCGGAGTCTTAGAAGCCCCAGCCTTCTTCAAGACTTCATCGACGAGGGGTTGATTCGCCGAGGGCCCCTCCTCCTTCTTCCTCTTCGGCACCTTGGCCAGTTTTTTGGACAACCGAGCGAAGGCTTGCACGTCCATAATATCACCTGCAAAAGACAAGGAAGGGTTAGAATCAGAGCTAATCAAGGAGAAATATTCTAAGTACAAAAAAAAAAAACAGGAGCCCTCAGCTACAACCTCCGGCGTTTTGATACCCCCGGTCGATCTCAGGATATTTCTCATCTTCATCCCCCGGGAGGCGATACCGCCTAAAGCCCAGCAGGTAAAGATCCTCTGGAAGTGTCGCCGCCTTGATAGCGATCACCTTATCAGAGCCCTCGGGCTTCTCAGTGAGTTTCTTACCAGCCTTCTGCAGTGCCGCGCTGCCCACCTTCGGATGCCTACGGAAGTGATTGCGCAGGGCCCCCGGGAATGGGTTATCAGCCATCCGGATATAACAAAATTTTTCCTTCCACTCCTTGTGCGATGAGGGGGTCTCGGAGAATAGCTTCCAAGCCGGCACCTGTTGCAAATTAGCATATCCCCCGGCGTGGGAATGTCCACCGCGACACAGATTAAAGGAGAGGAAAAATTGATCTAACGTAGCCTCCACCTTCCGGCTCTGGCAGAGAGATAAGAACCCCGCCAAGTAATAGTGGCTGTTTGGAGTTAGCTGGCAGGGGGCTAGCTTCACAAACCTCAGGTACTCCAAGACGAAAGGGTGGAGTGGGAACCTAAGACCCAACTCCACCGACAGTATGTGAACAGAGAAACACCCCTCCGGGGGGTGAGAGAGCAGATCTTCAGTCCCCGGCTCCACGACCTGCGCCGAGGGCCCCACGAGGACTTGGAGAGCCTGATAATCAACACCCGAGGCCGTGGTTTTCACCTCAAGGGCAGTAGTGTCCAAATACGAGTGCCCCTCGGGGATCCCGACGGGGCGACCAACATCGATGGCCGCTTGCTTCTTCTTGGGAGCAACCTTCAACTTCTTCTTCCTTTTTCCCGGGGCCACGCTCAGCGGATCAGGGTCCAATGGTCGGGAGGTGCTTGCCTCGCCAGCACCGCGCAAGGGTAGAACAGCAACCGTCACCCGAAGGCGTTCCTTCTCCTCTTCTTCTTCTGCTACCTGGAGAGCGAGGGCCATCTCCTCATCCTCCGCCACCTGCTCGAAGTCTTCAGCTTCGGCCTCAGTACGAAGGTTGCTCTGCACCTCCCTCGCCACTTCCGAGTCATTGTTGGAGGAGGCTTGCCCGCTCGACGGCTCCACATCCGAATAGTTCCACATTGTTTGGGGATCGCTCGCGGAGGACATAGTTGTGAATAAGGGGAGGGTTCCTAACCGAGGGTTCTAAAGTTCTCTAAACACTAAGACTGAAGACGGGGAAGCAAAATGTGCTAAGGGAACGAAGAACAGAAGAGGAACTGACCTTGAGGCGAAGGAAAAGCTTGGGTTTGATCGACGACAACACTTTCTCTCTCTAGAAAATTCAGCAGAGCTTCGCTAGAGTTTTTAAACGCACAAGAAGAAATGAACTCGGCTCTGGGGTATTTATAGGCAACTGGGCCTCGAGAACTGGGCCTCGATTCGAAAGCCCATCATTACGGGCCGCCGGTTCAGCCAATAGGTGGATACCGCCCACCTTCAGCCAACGGCAGCCGGCCACGTCGACCCCTCTTGCAACGGCTCTATTTCAACGGCTACATATCGGCAACACTGGCGTGCCCTCGGATGGTAGCCTCCGGCTACCGCTTCCGCAGCCTTCAGACAACGAACTCCACCAAACGTCTTCAAGCCCGCGGCGGCATTAGCCTCCGGCTTATCAAATGTCATCACCCCTCGGGAACTTATCAACACATCATGACTCCTTCAGCTCGAACTCGCCTTCGGCCTAAAGGAGTGGGGGACTGGGACACACCCCTCGGGAATCACACATGACCACAAACAAAAATTCCCACATACAAGAAACCTACAAATAACACATGTAGCCCTCGAGTGCGTACACCATTACACCCTTCGGCAAAGCAAAATGTCAGAAATTTTCCACAGAGTCACTGACAATAATAAAACAGCCTTCATCACAACACATACGGATGTTATTTACACCTTCCCTCAGAAAACCCTCGACATGTGAGGGACTGAGGGAAGCCTTCGGCTATCGACAGAAGGCAAATTCTCAAACAAAGGCACCCAAACAGACGATGAAGCCTCCGGAAGAATCAACACTTCTACTCATTTCCCCTCAAGTACCTTTCGGCAAAAGGAGTGAGGGACTCCTGATGGAGTATATGGCCCAGGAACCCTCGGCCCATAGGCTCCTACTCCTCCCACACAAGTCCATTGAGCTCAGGAAACAACTAAGGCCCGAATACAACGGCCCAGACCTCAAAGTAGCCCAGAATACACACCGGGGTGCCTTCGGCCTCCTTGGCCGAAGGCTCCAAAACTCACAGGATAGCCTTCTCCGGCATAAGAAGCTACTGGGAGAAAACGGCGAAAAAACATGAGCCCTCGGCATTGCCAGGCCTTCGGCATCAGAGATGCCTTCGGCTGAACCAAAGCCTTCGGTCACACAGGGCCTTTCAGCTAAACAGGGGTCCTTGGCTACATGGACCCCTCGGCCGCACAAGGAGCTTTCGGCCAAACATGCTCAATCATCGAAGATTCCTTTTGGAGACAGTCAACCACCGCATTTAATGCCACGTCACATCCACCAACCGCGTTCAATGCGGTGAACGTACCACTGCCGGTGCCACCCGACTGATGTGACCCTTCGGCCGTTGGATTACTGACACGTGTACTCTCGTCGCATTTATTGCTGCTATAAATAGCAGCCCATTTCTCCTTGTAATCGACATCATCTACATCTCAACTCCACACGCTGAGTTCATTTAATAAAATCGACTCTCTCTCCTCCTATTTACTCTGACTTCTCTCTAAGTTATTCCCCCAATAACCCCTCGGATAAGATACCCCCCGGGTAGATTGTCCATCAACAGTCCTGCTTTGGAATTTTTAAACTGTTTTAGTCCTATTTCGGGAACTTTCCCTTGGAAAAAATGATGTTACTGAAAAAATTTCGTGTCACTTCAATTTGTTATGTCATTAATAATTATCGCCATCAGATTTTTATCTCTTACGAATATCACTTTCGTCGTGAAACATGTCACTGGGATTGTTGGAAAAGCACGCCAGTGACCCGTTGTTGCCCCACTTACCCACACCACGATATCATCACTGCCACAACCCTCCCAACCATGATGCCTGTCCCACCTTTACTTTACCACCGGCCCCACCCCATCTCATCCCCTGGCCCACTAGCCTCTTCCCTGCCTTGGCTATTGCCGCCAACGCCGCCTCAGTCCCTCGGCCCCAGCCCCTTCTCTGCACCCCGCTTCTGCTCCAACGTCCCCACCCTGCCTCTAGCTTCAGATATAGTGTTTCGTCGTAGTTCGAGGTTCAATTTTGCCATTCGAAACTGTAGCAATTAGCGCTGATGATGCCAACCATTTCGGGATGGAGCCGAGAGTTGAGAGTAGGAAATACTCCGTATCAGTACGGAGTATTGTACTCGGTATTTTCTCCTCCTCCTCCTCCCCCTAATTGATACGGAGTATTTCCTACTTCATACTCCGTACAATATTATGGGTGAACAAATACACCAACAATAGAATGAGACAATGAAAATCAATTTGAACAAAACTAAAATTGCGTAAACCTAAAATCACATATGAGATTATGAATCGATTCAACTGACCAAAACCAAAAACCCTAGTTGAAACATGCTGGAACTGACACATTATTGAAATGATGTATACTTGAATTATTCGATTTGATTCCCGAGTAGTTTTTTATTTTCAAAGTCAAATCGATAATTTATCGACAACCCGTTTGGTAACACTGAAATCGGCTGGTTCTACCTAAATTTATGAAGTTCTGGCTGAAGATGCCGTATTGGCTGATTCTGCTCATTTATGAATAAATTGTATTTAAAATATATTTTACTAATAAGATAAAGAAAAAATATATGAAAAATAGCTAAAATGGTCAACTTCAGTAAATTCAGCCAATACAACCAGAAAAGTAAATTCAACCTTACTTTTTCTTATTAGCACACAATTCAGCGCGTCAAATAAAAAATTATATGTTTGGTTAAAAAATTAATTGATATACTTGATAAGCTGAAAAACGGAGTCATCAAAGAGGCTCCGAATGGATCACACCAAAATTGGTAAAATCGTACTCTCAACTTGTCAACTACTATCAAGTATCAGGTGTAAATACGAGATAGTGAGAGCACACAATTTCAATGTATATATAGTATATACGCTTCAATTATATTGGAGTCATAGCCTCATAGGGTACTCCGGAATAACTTCCATAAAAAAAAATACCCCGTTCCATTTTATCTATTTGAAAAAATAAGTGTATGATTTTCTCTTTTGAAAAAAATATGTGACCTACAACATTTCACTTTACCATACTTAAGTCTTAACCACATTTTTTATTTTTTAAACTAGTTTCTTAATAATTCTACCAAGTCAAAGTGAGACACATAAAATGGGACAGAGGTAGTTACATTGAATGGGAGATAGATAGAAATAGGAGAATCACTGATGTTTTTAGTGATCATGATTATGTTCTATTTTACACTATCATTTACCATATAACTCTATTCATATTACTTTTAATCACATTTTTATCAATGAGTTTAATGCTATAATGTTCTAGAAAAAACTCCTTAAAATTTCAATTTTGCATTTAAATAAACTATGCTATTTATTTGAAATAATAATATGCTCCGTACAATTTAATTTTAAGAGCATACAATAGGACAAAAGCACCAGAGATCTTAAATAAAAGAATCGGTGGTTTCATAAAAAAATATATTCAAGATCATCTATTTGTTCTGATGATAGTGTTTGATCAATGCTTGTATTATTTTTAAAAATAATTGCATACATATTTAAAATAAATGTGATTTTAAATAGAAATAATTACATGAATATGACCAAAATAAAAATGATTTACAAAAATATGACTAGTTACTAAAGTAATAATGAAATCATAGTAATTCATGTTCAAGTTTTGAACTTAAGTTACTACAACATCACGTTGTAGTAATGAACAGTCATATTTATGTAAATAAGTTTTGTTTTAGTAATATTCTTGTAAAAAGCCTAGGTCAATGGAAAAATAGCAAAATAATTCGGTGGCGTTTTTGTATTTAATGTGGAAATAGCGGTTTCTGCTAAATGCGCATTAGTGTACTGTTAATGAGCAATAGTCCAATTTTAATGAGTATTAAGCGTCTAATAATAAGCACTGTGTTATTACAAGAAAGCTGATATCACAACTAAAAAACGGTGGCATTTTCGTAATTTCAGTGAAAATCGCGATTTTTGTTATTTGAAATTAATACACTTTTAACGAACATCAGATGTATTCTACTGAGCATTAAGAGTCAAATAATGAGTATTGTGAT